TACTAGAGGAGAGTCAGCCAATGACTGGTGAAGGTGAGACAGCCAATACATACTAGAGGAGAGGCAGCCAATGACTGGTGAACGTGAGACAGCCAATACATACTAGAGGAGAGGCAGCCAATGACTGGTGAACGTGAGACAGCCAATACATACTAGAGGAGAGGCAGCCAATGACTGGTGAAGGTGAGACAGCCAATACATACTAGAGGAGAGGCAGCCAATGACTGGTGAACGTGAGGCAGACAATACATACTAGAGGAGAGGCAGCCAATGACTGGTGAAGGTGAGACAGCCAATACATACTAGATGAGAGGCAGCCAATGACTGGTGAACGTGAGGCAGACAATACATACTAGAGGGGAGTCAGCCAATGACTGGTGAACATGAGACAGCCAATACATACTAGAGGAGAGGCAGCCAATGACTGGTGAACGTGAGGCAGACAATACATACTAGAGGGGAGTCAGCCAATGACTGGGGCACGTGAAGCAGCCAATACATACTAGATGAGAGGCAGCCAATGACTGGTGAACGTGAGGCAGACAATACATACTAGAGGGGAGTCAGCCAATGACTGGTGAAGGTGAGACAGCCAATACATTTTAGATGAGAGGCAGCCAATGACTGGTGAACGTGAGGCAGACAATACATACTAGAGGGGAGTCAGCCAATGACTGGTGAACATGACAGCCAATACATACTAGAGGAGAGGCAGCCAATGACTGGTGAACGTGAGGCAACAAATACATACTAGAGGGAGTCAGCCAATGACTGGTGAACGTGAGGCAGCCAATACATACTAGAGGAGAGTCAGCCAATGACTGGTGAAGGTGAGACAGCCAATACATACTAGAGGAGAGGCAGCCAATGACTGGTGAACGTGAGACAGCCAATACATACTAGAGGAGAGGCAGCCAATGACTGGTGAACGTGAGACAGCCAATACATACTAGAGGAGAGGCAGCCAATGACTGGTGAACGGTGAGACAGCCAATACATACTAGGAGGAGAGTCAGCCAATGACTGGTGAAGGTGAGGCAGCCAATACATACTAGAGGAGAGGCAGCCAATGACTGGTGAAGGTGAGGCAGCAAATACATACTAGAGGAGAGGCAGCCAATGACTGGTGAAGGTGAGACAGCCAATACATACTAGAGGAGAGGCAGCCAATGACTGGTGAACGTGAGGCAGCAAATACATACTAGAGGAGAGTCAGCCAATGACTGGTGAAGGTGAGACAGCCAATACATACTAGAGGAGAGTCAGCCAATGACTGGTGAACGTGAGACAGCAAATACATACTAGAAGGAGAGGCAGCCAATGACTGGTGAACGTGAGACAGCCAATACATACTAGAGGAGAGGCAGCCAATGACTGGTGAAGGTGAGGCAGACAATACATACTAGAGGAGAGGCAGCCAATGACTGGTGAACGTGAGGCAGCCAATACATACTAGAGGAGGGAGTCAGCCAATGACTGGTGAACGTGAGGCAGACAATACATACTAGAGGAGAGGCAGCCAATGACTGGTGAAGGTGAGACAGCCAATACATACTAGAGGAGAGGCAGCCAATGACTGGTGAACGTGAGACAGCCAATACATACTAGAGGAGAGGCAGCCAATGACTGGTGAACGTGAGGCAGACAATACATACTAGAGGAGTGTCAGCCAATGACTGGTGAAGGTGAGACAGCCAATACATACTAGAGGAGAGGCAGCCAATGACTGGTGAACGTGAGGCAGACAATACATACTAGAGGAGGAAGCCAATGACTGGTGAACGTGAGGCAGCCAATACATACTAGATGAGGAGGCAGCCAATGACTGGTGAACGTGGGAGACAGCCAATACATACTAGAGGAGAGGCAGCCAATGACTGGTGAACGTGAGGCAGACAATACATACTAGAGGAGAGGTCAGCCAATGACTGGTGAAGGTGAGACAGCAATAATACATACTAGAGGAGAGTCAGCCAATGACTGGTGAACGTGAGGCAGCCAATACATACTAGAGGAGAGTCAGCCAATGACTGGTGAAGGTGAGACAGCCAATACATACTAGAGGAGAGGCAGCCAATGACTGGTGAACGTGAGGCAGCCAATACATACTAGATGAGAGGCAGCCAATGACTGGTGAAGGTGAGACAGCCAATACATACTAGAGGAGAGTCAGCCAATGACTGGTGAAGGTGAGGCAGCAAATACATACTAGAGGAGAGGTAGCCAATGACTGGTGAACGTGAGGCAGCCAATACATACTAGAGGAGAGGCAGCCAATGACTGGTGAACGTGAGGCAGCCAATACATACTAGAGGAGAGTCAGCCAATGACTGGTGAACGTGAGGCAGCCAATACATACTAGAGGAGAGTCAGCCAATGACTGGTGAAGGTGAGACAGCCAATACATACTAGAGGAGAGTCAGCCAATGACTGGTGAACGTGAGGCAGCCAATACATACTAGAGGAGAGGCAGCCAATGACTGGTGAAGGTGAGGCAGCCAATACATACTAGAGGAGAGGCAGCCAATGACTGGTGAAGGTGAGACAGCCAATACATACTAGAGGAGAGTCAGCCAATGACTGGTGAAGGTGAGGCAGCCAATACATACTAGAGGAGAGGCAGCCAATGACTGGTGAACGTGAGACAGCCAATACATACTAGAGGAGAGGCAGCCAATGACTGGTGAACGTGAGACAGCCAATACATACTAGAGGAGAGGCAGCCAATGACTGGTGAACGTGAGACAGCCAATACATACTAGAGGAGAGGCAGCCAATGACTGGTGAACGTGAGGCAGCCAATACATACTAGAGGAGAGGCAGCCAATGACTGGTGAAGGTGAGACAGCCAATACATACTAGAGGAGAGGCAGCCAATGACTGGTGAAGGTGAGGCAGACAATACATACTAGAGGAGAGGCAGCCAATGACTGGTGAAGGTGAGACAGCCAATACATACTAGAGGAGAGGAAGCCAATGACTGGTGAAGGTGAGGCAGACAATACATACTAGAGGAGAGTCAGCCAATGACTGGTGAAGGTGAGGCAGACAATACATACTAGAGGAGAGGAAGCCAATGACTGGTGAACGTGAGGCAGTCAATACATACTAGAGGAGAGGTCAGCCAATGACTGGTGAAGGTGAGGCAGCCAATACATACTAGAGGAGAGGCAGCCAATGACTGGTGAACGTGAGACAGCCAATACATACTAGAGGAGAGGCAGCCAATGACTGGTGAACGTGAGACAGCCAATACATACTAGAGGAGAGGTCAGCCAATGACTGGTGAACGTGAGGCAGACAATACATACTAGAGGAGGAGTCAGCCAATGACTGGTGAACGTGAGGCAGCCAATACATACTAGAGGAGGAGGCAGCCAATGACTGGTGAAGGTGAGACAGCCAATACATACTAGAGGAGAGGCAGCCAATGACTGGTGAACGTGAGACAGCCAATACATACTAGAGGAGAGTCAGCCAATGACTGGTGAACGTGAGACAGCCAATACATACTAGAGGAGAGGCAGCCAATGACTGGTGAACGTGAGGCAGACAATACATACTAGAGGAGAGTCAGCCAATGACTAGTGAACGTGAGGCAGACAATACATACTAGAGGAGAGTCAGCCAATGACTGGTGAACGTGAGGCAGCCAACCCATACTAGAGGAGAGGCAGCCAATGACTGGTGGTGAGGCAGAACTAGAGGAGGCAATGACTGGTGAACAGGCATACAATACATACTAGAGGAGAGGCAGCCAATGACTGCAGGAGGTAGCCAATGAATGTAGAAGAGTGGTACATGAGGGTCAGCCAGTGGTGAACGTAGGAGGCAGACAGCCAGTGGCGGGAGGTAGCCAATGAATGTAGAAGAGTGGTACATGATACTGTAGAAGAGGAGAGGCAGCCAATGGCAGCCAATGAATGTAGGAGAATGAGGGGCAGTGGCCAATGAATGTAGAAGAGTGGTACATGAGGGTCAGCCAGTGGCGGGAGGCAGCCAATGAATGTAGAAGAGTGGTACATGAGGGTCAGCCAATGGCGGGAGGTAGCCAAGGAGTGGTGTAGGAGAGTCAACCAATGATAAATCAACTAGTGATTGGTAGGAAAGGGGTAGGGGCAACCAGCACATGTCATAATTCTTGAAGAACTAGGGTAATTAATTTCTTCAACTAGGGAGATCTTTCAAAGTACATCTCACAAAAACACAGCAACAATGCTCTTCCCGCATATAGAGTCCTGTCTTATCTCAAGTCCCCAGTAAGTATCACGCTTCCTGAGAGTAACTCGCCACCAGCCACACGACTAAAGTCTGACTACATGACGCACAATAGGATCAGTAACACTTACAATACATGTCAAAAGCAAGAGTATGCCAGAACAAATGAAGCTACTATTTATCACCCACACACCCACATCATCAATGTAATGCAAAACAATTACAAAGAGGTTTGTTATCAAAGGGAAATGCGTCAGTATCTGGTGAGCAATCTGATTAGGTTATGCCGGTGCATGTCCATAATCAGTTCCAATTCTGATACATACTGGGTTTATGGTACCATCATACATGTTACAGGCAGGCGTGCAGACACGGTGAATACTTTATTTAACCACAAACGATGCTAATAACGTCCGCATATATGTGTTGTATATTAGCAACAATTTGCTTCCAAGCAGTCTGACAAGCACCCATTATGAATGCATATTTATTCGGAATGTATGACTATTGCGAGGAAGATGCCATGAAGAAATACTCTGAAAGTAATATATAAATATACATCCTCGTGGTGAACTCATATCCTCCTCCTGAAACTGCAATAGATCCAAGGCCTGACATGTCCAATGTTCAGTGATCAATACCTTACTATGAATTATTCATGGATGTTTGGATACGAATCCAGCATATGAGGAAAAGCATAAATTCCGGGATAGCCTGTGTCATATTGGTCAGCAGTGCGTGGACACGGCGGCCATTTTTGATATAGGAATGGATTGACTCACCACCTGGCTCGAGCGAGTAGCTTCCCCTTTGCTTGGAGCGCTCTCCTCTGCGAAGGCTCATTTTGCTGCGACTTCCTGTCCTTTCTGCGTGGCCCAAGTACTCCTGAAACATTAAGCAGTTGACTGTGATAATGATAATAATGTAAGCAGTTGTAAGAATATATGATAATCATACATAATAATACATAATGTTTCATTACTTGGAGGTAAGCCAAGTGGGAATATTACACCCAAGTCCCTGGTTCGAATCCTCATATGTGAACGATGTACATGTGCGAAGCCAATTTCTGATATACTCGACCGTGAGATTGTTTTTTGTTGTTTAACGCCGCCTTCTGGAATATTCCAGCTATATGGCAATAATTGAGTCTGGACCAGACAAGCCAGTGATCAACAGCATGAGCATCAATCTATGCAATAGTTGAGTGGAGCTGAGTTGGGCTTTACGTCACATCGGCATTCTATGCAATAGGGGATACGATGACATGTGTCAACCAAGTCAGCGAGTCTGACCACCCGATCTCGTTAGTGGCCTCTTACGACAAGCATGGGTTACTGAAGACACATACTAATCTGGATCTTCACGGGTTACAGTAATAATGAATGGGATACGTTATCAAACATAAACACCCAAGAGCCGTTTCTAGATAATACGAAACTTGTTCATAAGCTATATCGGAGTTTAATTGGATCAATTTGACTTGACAAGGAAAGGTATTTAACTTGTGCTTCAGTCAACGTATATAACCACAACACAAGAAATGCCAAAAGTCATAATTACTGAAACAAAAATAGAAAGTTTCACACGAAAATCTAAATTCTTATTAATTTTAATCTTCACGGGTTCCGTAATACGACAAAGATTTGGATGGTTTAAAGTCATAGTCACTCATTATTGAAAATCATGAACAAGAAAATCCGTGTGTGTTGATACTAATCAGGTATCGATCTTCATCCAGATTAACCATCTTGGTTAAAGGGTAAGGTCACTAAGGTTACTTGACGACACAATAATTCTGGTAGTGAGGGTTCCGTTCAAACGAGGTGTAGATGATTTCAGTGTTTCCTCGATGCATGTACCCCATGATTGCTGTGTTGTGACAGTGGAGCCTGGCCGATGTATAATTCTAACGCATTCAATCATAAACATACATTTCATTGACCACATCACTAAGACCTGTAAACCCAATCCCCGGGGGGCAATGATATCGGAACGGTTACTTTGTATTATTCTCAGTTTTTGCTTCATCTTGAGTGCCTAGTTCACTCCTGTTGAACAGTTTTCACTGTTTGCCTTTAGGCCCGTGGCTTCGTTTTTGTTTTTTCAGCAGCACATCAATAAAGGTGTCAACAATAGTTGTACTAAAGGGATCCTCCATTTGTTATCAAGAAACTTTATAGTATATGGATCGAATATTTATAGAAGAGAGGACTGGGTAAGCTACATGACAATAACCTGCTCGTGATATGGAATTATGGATTAAGGCAATCGTGAAATAAGGTCACACAATTAATTCACAATAAAAGTAATGACTTTAACATTTCTCGAAGCTTGTTCAGTATACAGAATTTACATATACACACACTCACGCACACGCACACACACATAGATGCACACAGACACAGTCACAGATACAGGAACGCGCCTACACACACACACACACACACACACACACACACACACATATATATATATACGCTCGCACATACAGTTATAAAGCCAGTAAACCAAGCTGGAGTACAGTACATTACAGAGGCAATTGCCGGAGGTGGGCGGACGGACACGGTGCAGTAATGTGGTTTATGGCCTATGTATAATGTATATAGCGTGTAATTGCTCCGCAGTAAACAACCTGTCCATCATCTGCGGCTGGGTCACCTGGCAGGAAAACGTCATATCATTATCTAGGAGCATCCAGCTGCCTCATGCCAGCCTATTAAACAGATACCTTTGTAAGCTATGAACAAATTATATTCTCCAAAGGTTAGCATTGAAGTCACAACTGTACAGATAAGTAAGTACAGGTAGAGCCTGTTATGTATGGTACCGTCACCAACAGAATAGGCAGGTCAAGTAATTAAAGAATGTATATAGCTTCCAAACAAACGTTCGGACAAGGATTCCGATCTCATAGGCGTTCTGTTTTTCGGGGTTTTCGCTGTATTGTGACCCCACTATTGTGGGTGACAAATTCCTAAACAAAACCATGTTTCCTGAACCAGCCAATGTTTCTTCAACAAGTCCATATTTTGTGAACAAGTCCATGTTTCCTAAACCAGACGGGGTCTCCATAGACATCCCAGTCTAAACCAGGCCACATCTCCTAAAACGTGCACAGTTCTTCAACTATCCTGTATTTTCTTAACAAGACGATGTTTCTTAGACTAGTCCGTGTTTCCTTTACTTGCCCTTGCTTCCTAGCACTGTTGACAAGGCTCGTTTCGGTTTGTGTTGTTGGCTAGTCATGGCTAGTCATGCATAGTTGTGGTTGGTGGTTGACGCTGTGATAGGTCTCTTGTACATAGATGTAGCTGGTTGTACTGACGACGACATATATACTTGCTAATGGCCCGTGCTGGATGCACTTTCAAACATTCCAGAACTGATGATGGTGTATTCCACGTATAGTATTTTGTGTTCCAGAACCAGGAACAGAGAGAGGAAAGATCACGTGTTACACTGGCTGAACAATAAACCAGATGGAAGCCACAGGCAACACAAGAAGTAAAATGAATGGTTACTATACTTTTGTTTAACATCAGATTCTCTGCGTGAATACATATCGTTTAACGCAACATCCAGTTAACGCTGTTTTATCTTTCAGTGATTGAATACACAACAACATCAGCAGCAGCAGTAGCAGCAGCAGTAGTAGTAGTAGTAGTAGTAGTAGTAGTAGTAGTAGTAGTAGTAGTAGTCGTAATATTCGTGGTGGTGGTAGTGGTGTGGTGGTGGTACAAAGTATAGGGGTAGTAGTAGCAGCAGCAGCAGTAGGAGTAGCAGTAGTAGTAGTAGTAATAGTAGTAGTAGTAGCAGCAGCAGCAGCAGCAGTAGTAGTAGTGGCAGCAGCAGCAGTAGTAGTAGTAGTAGTAGTAGTAGTAGTAGTAGCAGTAGTAGTAGAAGTAGTAAGCAGTAGCAGTAGTAGTAGTAGTAGTAGTAGTAGTAGTAGTAGTAGTAGTACTTGTAACAATAAAACAGCAACAGAACCATTCACACAGTTATTTGTAAATATTTACCTGAAGGAAGAATCCTTTGTATGATTCAGACTGTATGCTAACCATATGATTATGACTATCTCCCAAACAGTGGTGACACCAGGTGTTCGCAAAAAGGTGGGCGTACTCTGCTCCACCGGTACATTGGCACACAGGGATGCAGGGATCTCCCAAGTCAAAAACAGATACCCGATCCAATGTAAATAATGAATTCCTTAATTTGCAAGAAACAATTTTCGAATAACTGAAAAATATTCGTTCTACAACACTAATATGAAAAAAGATATTTGTCCTGCTTGCCGAGTTGACTAATACCAAGACACCAGTGGAAATAGAATTGTAGTAAACAGACACAGTTGTGTTTTACCCTCTACTGATATTTGGTGACAACTGGTCACCTGTGCCTTTGGATGTAAGATATAACAGGTTGAGTGTCTCGGTGCCTCGTCTGGTTGTTAGTCATGATGTGGGGTGCTCATTATATCGAGCACTGAGTTGTCTGGTCACGATTACTTACAGGACACCGTTATACTAAATTGAAGGACAGCTGTTCCCGGCGTTAAACAACACTGGAGTGTTACGATATGATAATCCTTGGCTGACGCAATGCAGGTAAATCACTGTGATTGTTTTACCAACAAACGTAAGATTCCCTTTTACTGATTTGGAAACTACGCCCTTCAGACAAGTACTTCCTGGTCTTGAGTCTTGAGCAAACTTGCAAATCATTTACACCCCCACACAGCTTCTGCTTTCTTCCAGTCAAACCAGGAATCTCTCCCCGTTTTCGATCTCAAACAAACACTGGACGGCCGGGCCCGTGTTGCAGCATTTTACGAGTGCTTAAGCCAATGTATATCTGACGCCGAGAGCGCTGCTTATCTCCTCTGCAGCCCGCATGCGCAGAAGAGGAAGGTTACGTTTAAAGGAAGACAATCGATATAATCTGGAATGCTCAAACGATGTGGGTAACCACTCCTGGCGTTTGACCTGGAGTTATTACTTTAGGCACCATTCATAATTTATGTAATGTGACCCCCTAAAACTTATGTACAAAGTAAGTGACCCCCCATGCATGTCATGTACAAAATCAATGACCACCCTCCCCTTCCAATATTTTTTAAGCATAATTTTTAAATATGTTTATGTACAAAATTGCTGACCCCTCTAGAAACATGTGTACAAAATTGATGACCCCCCTACCTCTCCAGAACAAAATGGGTGACCCCCCCTTAAAACATCATCACCCCCACCCCTAGCCATAAATTATGAACGGTCCCTTATTATGAAATGTGTACGTCAAGATATTCTTGCAACATTCTTGTAATATTCTTGCAACATTCTTGTAAGATTCTTGTAAGATATGGTTGAAATAACGCAAAGTATGTATTATTTGAACGTCAACGCGTAATAATAGCTTGGTGCAAGTGTTTGTAAAAGCAAGAAGTGTAATGTCAAGGACGATCCCTTGCTTTTTTCATATCTAAACATCTTCAGACTTGCAGGAATGTCTCCCGGTATTCAGAATGATGTTAAGATTTTCCTTCTGGAACTGAAGTGTGCCAAAGTGAAGAATACTTTTTATGTATCTTCGAAGTCGGTGTTTTACCACGAGCAAGGTCTATTCTGACATAAGACGTACTGTTAACACAGCTGGCTATGGGATCCATTGTAACCGTGCCTCTACAGTCTTCTCTGAGCATTTGGGGAACGGATCACAAAGAATTGAGAACGTTGAAGTTAATTCATCTTTCAATCCACCCATAAACCCACCCATCCAACCGCCAACCCGTCCATCCATCCAACCACCGCCCACACATCCATCCATCCACCCAACCGCCCGTCCATTTCTTCAAATGCCCATCCATTCATCCAACCGCCGATCCA